CCTGCAGCATCTTTTCCCTTCGCTTGTGTTTGTCTCCTCTGCGGGAACGGGGGTGGAAGCGAGAGTGGGAAGGTTCCAGGGGACAGTGGAACGGGAGAGACAGGGGACAAAAGCCCCATCCTCAGCCCAGCAAAGGGTGGATGACCACGGCCAGGAGCCCCAGGTCTGCTCCCAGCCCTGGAATGGTTCCTCGGGGGGGGGCAGGAGCATCCCTCCCCGGGCAGCAGCTCACCGGGGCTGTGCAACGCAGCGGTGACACCATGCACAGCAAAACCCAGCGCGAGGGAGGATAGTAATTCTGTAAAGGGCAGGAAAAGCTGGCAGAGCCCTGGGAAATTTGGCAAGGGTAATATTTCTGTAAAACCCTGCAAAGCCCAGAGCGCTGGATAAAGGGTAACAGTTCTGGTACGGGGCACGGCGAGAGCTGCCAAGCTGCTGAGCCCCGTGATGTGGCACAAAGCTCTGCGCAGAGCCGGCGGTGTCAGCAGAGGGTAATTGGAAAATTGAAGCAGCTTTGAAACGTGGCGGAAAACTCGGGGAAGGCTGATGGAGGCTGAGCAGCAGATGGGAGAGAGCAGCGAGTCGGGGGGCTGGGAGAATGGAACCCAGTGACCCAGGGGACCGCAGGGGCCACAGAGGGGACCGCCAGTTTGAGCCAGCTCCGCACCAGTGCCACCCACCTCACCGTCCCCAGCCAGCTCTCAGCCACAGCTTGGGAAACGCAGGAGAGGCTGAACCCCAGGGGACACCAGCCCAGGATGGACAAGGTGGCACAGGAGCATGCAGGGATGGAGCTGGGGCAGTCCGTTGCAGCCCAGTATTTCTAAGCTAAATTTTGAGGAGGTCTCCCTTCCTTCAAGTGGCATCCTCCAGTGCAGAGGTGACACAGGAACTCCCCCCAGGGATGCCAGCAGCTGCCTCCCAAGAAGATCCAGTTGGCCCAGAGGCTGAAGGTCCACGTTTCTGGCCAGAAACCTGCCACTGGCACAAATTTTCATCTGGAACAGACACCTTCCCATTTAGTTTCTCCTTAATCCATCGGCACTTCTGCTTCCGGGGTCACCCTCATCGTCCCCTTCGGCAGCAAGGACCAGGCTCAGAGGTGATGGGTAACTGGGAGGACTGGGAGGACACCAGCGCTGGCCAGAACGCAGCTGAAGGGTTTAGGACCATCCACAGAAGGGGGAAAGCAGCGGCCAAATGCCACTGAAAGAGGAGGCAGAGAGGGCAGAAAGAATATTTTTTGTGCCAGCATGGCTCATCAATAGCAGAGTCTCCCCTCTCTGAGAGCAGCTGGGATGGGGAATGACCGAGGAACCTTCCCCTCGGGTTGGGGGCACGTGGGCAGGGGCTGAGAGCTGTGGGAAGGGGAAGGGGCTGCTCTGCAGAGAAGGGGCAAGGACCCCCACTCCCTCTCTGCACAGGGGCACCCGCTGTTCCTCCTCCCACCGCTCCCCAGCATCAGGAGAGGGACAGCAGACCCCGACATGGTGGAACTGCTCTTCCCCCACTGTGCAGAGAAGGGGCAAGGACCCCCACTCCTCTCTGCACAGGGGCACCCGCTGTCCCTCCTCCCACTGCTCCCCAGCATCAGGAGAGGGACAGTGGACCCCGACATGGTGGAACTGCTCTTCCCCCACTGCCAGGGCGGTCAAGGAGGCAAAAGGCTCTTTCTTGGGGCCTTTGGACCCAAAATCCGTGGGGGGACAGCTGGGTTTGCCAGTCCAGCACCACAGCCAGGTGTGTCCCACCACGTCCTTCGCACCGAGGCTGTTTGGGATGCAGGACCCATCGCTGGGCGCTGCAGTCGGAGCTCTGGAGCCTGGAGCCCCTGGAAGCTGCGATACAGACACAGCCTCCCCATGGTTGTGTATTCTCTTTGGAGAATAGAAGGGAAGAAACTGGTGTCCAGGGATCATTCTCACCAAGCCAACAGACACCTCTTTGTTTGCTAAGGGTCACTGTCATCAACAACAGAAACCAGAAGTTGTTCTCGAGGCTCTTCACCCCAAACTATCCATCCTTTGACACCTTCTGATTCTTCAGCCACCCTCAGCCACCCAGCCTGTCCGACGGTCACCAGCCTGGCACATGAGCCGTGAGCTCACCATGAGCCTTCACCTCCAGCCCCAAGCTCTGCCGGGTCACTCCACACCGCTGGTCCAATGTGCCCTGACTGCGGCTCCACGGCTCAAACCCCTGCCACCAGCCCTGGGCACCGCCAGCGCAGAAGAGATGTCCCTGCTTGAGGGACAACCTTTGCCTGGGGCTTACAGCCGGGCTCTGCCGAGAGCCCACCTCTGCCCCTGCCCACCACAAACCAGGAGCACAACCAAGACCCACCCAGCTGGGACATCCAAAGGTGGCACCTATCTCCGGTGAAGACTGGGTGGTGACTCCGTCCTCGAAGCTACCAGTGAAGAGGCTCCACTGAATGTCACCTAACCCTGGCGAGGACTCCAACAGTGACAACTGCCCTCGCTGCGCTCCAGCACCCGCTTCAGCAGAGCACTCATGACACCCAGCGAAGCCGGACAACATCCCGACTCAGAAACAACAACTAAACCCCCAGCATGGACGCTCTCCCAAGGTGCCCTCCCTTGCATTCTGAATGCCTGTTAAATACGTGCACAAGCTTCTGCTGCGTACAACCTTCCCAAATGAATCCCAGGAACAGGAAAAACAGACCAAAAGGACCACCCTCCATCCCAACCCCCTCAGGAGCATCCAGACCACGAGCCAACAAAACGGCAAAAATCTATTTCTCTGCTGGAGGTGACACAAGCCACCTAGGATCTGGATGGGCTGAGGTTTGGTCCCCGATGAACTGATGACTTGTAGGTCTTCCACGCTAAGAAAGTGAACAATTCTACAAAATCAGGAGCTGCAAAGCATCTGTTTGTCAGCGGCTCCAGAAGCAAGACAGAGGCAGCCTGGCCCCAGGCAGGGCAGAAGGAGAGGGGACTCCAGGAAATGAGCTCGACGCATGCGGGCACAAGGCAAACTTATCTGCTGCTTGCAGGAGGGAGATGAAGAAAGAGCAAAGCTGCCCCGAGATAAGAAGAGTCAAAGTCGGAACAAGCCGAGGGTGTATCGAGGCAGGGCAGCAGGTCACGGCACGGAGGGGAAGGACAATGACGGCAGACGAGCTCTCTGTTCAGCACATCAGAAGAGGCAGGGCTGGAGCAACCCACCAAATCGCTTGTGCTACAGAATTTATTCTCTATTGGACAGGTCTCTGCTGAGCTCCTGCAGATCTGTGACACTTCTTGCTCTTCGAGGAACGAAGGAAAGGACCTGGCTTCCCAGAAGGGCGGGGGAAGAAAAAACAAAACCAACCAAAGCTTTATGAAAGATAAAATTCATTGGTCAGACACAATGACTTGGCCTCTTGCGCTTCCTGCGTCAGTCCATCACGAGGAAAAAGCCAACTGTTAAAAACCAAACACACACGTGAAAGTTGGCTGTGGGGTCGTGGAAAACCACCCCAGGATGATGAAGAGCTGTGCAAGTGTCTCCTCAGGCAGGAGGGTGCCTCGGTGGCTGGTTAGGGGCTGAGGTGACAGCCCAGCCAGTCCCCCTCCCACAGGCTCAGGCACATTTCCTGCACCCCTCCCCAGCACCATACTTTTAAATTGATTCCACTAAGCCAGCAAAAAGCTGGCTGGTAAATTAAAACTTAACCTCACTTTAAACTTCACTTAGACGGCTCTGGCTTGCACCAGTAACTTTACAAGGGCAAATCACAGCCACAAAATAGTTTTAAAATGGTAAAACACACCCATGCAGGACCTGAGCTCTGGTTTGCTGAGCTGGTTCCACCTGTGTCAGTGTAACCTGGGTTTTGGGGAAAGCCTCGCTCCTCGTTTTCACCTGAGGCATCACATCTTACCCTTCAGCCTGGATGCTTCTCCAGAGCGTCAGTGCCAATTATCCGCGCAGAGGGATTGTGGCCAGTTCATCCCTTCTGTTCCATCATACCAACATGATCAATTCCCAGCTCGGAATCGAGGACGGTGTCGGAAACTCAAGTCCCAGGCACCTGGGGAAAACCTGCAGGTGCTGTGGAAGGGCACGATCCAGCAAAGAACACACCTGACAACTCACCCGAGACACGACGGCCTTTTGCTCCAGGGCACAGGGGTTAGGTCACCCCAAAAGACACCCACGGACACGTGCAGATATACAATTAGAAAATATTTAATTTAGAATTTTAGAGACTTAAAAAAATAATTTATTTTAAAATCATTTTGCTGCGTGTGGCCTGCAGAGTTTCCAAGCATCCAGCCTGGCCAAGGCTGATGTTCCCCTCCCTCTCTCCATCACCCTCCCCTCTCCCAACACCCTTCTGTGCACGGTCCTGTTCCCAGACACATTCTGACGCACTCCAGGGAAAAGAAGAATGAGCAGCTCATTACACAGAAAGACGTTTCAAACATGTGGCTCAGCAACATGCTTTTTCCAAGTCCTTGGTGTTTTTTTTTTCCCCTCTCAGCACAGGCACGAGCTTCTCGGTGTGCTCCCAGCCTCCCACCACTTCACCAGTTTGCCACTCAGGGCTTGTCCTCTGCCAAGAGGGGACCAGCAACATTTTTTTTAGGAATGTTTTTGTGTACACTGAAGTGTTCCCCTCCACTCTTCAGTCTCTCCATCCCACTGCAGTGGACCTTTGAACATTTGAGCAGCAACATACTTTACCAATATGCTCGAGGGCAGCCAGACTCTCTGTCCTGGTTCATATCCCCAAGTTTTCGGCAAACGCTGGCCCATCTGACGTGCCAGCAGCCAACGCCATCCTTCTGGCGCTTGCCCCATGTGAATCTCCTTTTCGCCTTTGGCCGTGTACTTGGCAGAAGCTGGAGCACAGAATCCAGGTAAAGCGAGTCACCTAAATGTTATCGTAGGGAACCGCGAGGCCGATGTTGTAGTTGTAACCAGTCACTTCATCGTAGGAAGAGCGTTCAAATAGGAAGAACGCTTTCGACAGCCAGCTGGTCCACTGAGAACTCGTAGGCGTAAATGACTCCCCGATGCCTGTACAAACACAACCAGGACACACCATTGGACCTTCATTATGTATCGCAACAGGGAAACGAACAAAGCTAGAGCTTGCCATAAAGGATCAAAATTTGATGCTTTGGAAGTGGAATGTAAAACCCCATTTTTTCTGCACCAGGGCTGTCTGTGCAGCTTTAACAGTGAAAATTCCCTCCTGCCTCCTTGCAGGGACCCCAGCAAGCCCTGGAAACGAGCGGTGAATCACTCGCTTCAGCACTGCAGAGACATGACTGTCATCTGCTGAAACGTTCCTAATCTGTTCAGAAAGGAGGAAGATTAGTACATTGTAGTTTGATAGTTCAATTAGACACGCTCACAGCCATCTGAGATGCAAATACCAAACCCTGGCGTTTAAATACCAGTAGTTTTCCTTTTGGAGGAGGTATCATTACTAATATTTAGAGCAAGGAAAGAGCTGCATTCCCTGTCTGGCTTCAGTGGCCTTTACATTTCCCTGCTGAAAAAGAAATGCCTTTTTTTGTGCTCAGAAGTAAATAAAGAGACAATTCATCACCGGTTTTGAAAGACTTACCTTTAAACTTCTTCTATTTTTTAGATGCTATACCTTCTGTATTACTGCTCTGGATCATGACTCAGGTGCTTCGTGTGACATTTAAAAATATATAACAAAGCAGATCTTCACAGTGCCAAAAATCCCACCCTTCAGAGCTGGGTTACTCACTTGCGGTGCACGGTAAGGTCATCGTCCGTGATGCTGGCACCTCGGGGAGTTTTCTCATCGGGGATGTTGGCAGTGATGAGGCTGTGAGAATTAAACCATACGTGGCGGACTGGGTGTCTGAAAAATAACCCACAGCACGGGGTGAGATGCCACCTTCGTTGGATTCCGAAAATCCAAGTGCAGGAAAGGAATCGCTCTGGATTAAACAAGAATTCATTTAAATCAGTGCTGCCTCTATGGCCAGAGGCTCTTTGCTTTTGCATCTTTGGCTCTTCTCCTCCTATCTGGAGCAGATAAGCCCAGCTTTTATCCCCATCTAGTGGGCTATTACCAGAACACACGTGGAGGCCAAAAAAATATTTTAGACACTTGGCAGCACACAGGCTGCCAGGGATGCGGGCTGCCTGCACGCTTTGCTGCTTTAGGGACTGCAGCAGCACACTCCTGGGAAGAGCAGGATGCTGCCAAAAAGGAGAACAGGGATGCCCAGGACCCCCACACCTCCAGGCACCGAGCTGTGGCTGATGTAGAAACACACTGTAAGGCACAAGCTAAGAGTCTTCATTCCTTTTCCTCTCACTGGTGAATAAACTAACCCTGAAGCACTGGGACAGCATTTACTGCTCAAGTAGGAGTGACTTATCTGCTCAGATTAAGACGGCTCATCTCCACGACTCTAACGTGTCTCCTGTCACCTCCCTGAGCTTCTGCCCTTGCGTTCCAGTCGTGACACTGGGCTGTAGGCATGGATAACGCCACACACACCTTCTGATCTATGCAGGTCTCTTTGATTGACATGAGCCCTTCTGATTCCTATATATACGAAACAGTATTTTAAATGTTTAATGCAACGGTTTCACTTTTAGTGCATCCCCAAAGCTCAGACCTGTGCTGCCTGCCCTCCTCCTTGGCAGGCTCATCAGTGCTGCTCCAGGGGACAATCAATGCGATATTGTCCTTAATGCATGAGCTGCATCGCAACGAGCTTTATCATTCCCAGGGTCAAAGGAGGAGATACCTACTATTAATCAGTGACAGCTCCAACCTGACTGCTCTGACTGTAAATACCTCATCTAGCTCCTCTTTGGGGAAGATGCCTTCAAAAAAAAAAAAAAAAAAACAGATCAGGATTTATCTGTTCATGTTATCAAGGGTATCACTCAGACCTACCAGCCCTTGAGGCTTTCACTCAGACCCAGCGAACTGCCTGGGAATTGTGTCTTGCTCAGGAAATCAGAATTTGGCTGTAGCAACAAACAGGTTTCTGTCGTCTCCGGGATGCTGATCTCTGCTGGTTCTTTCAGCACTGTACTGCTTGTGCTTTCAGTACAAACTGGCATTTGAATATTCAAATGAGTTTAGATACCAGCTGGGCTTTGCTCCCTTACTGCTAAGAGAATGCGTGAATGAGGTGAACAGAAGCACAGGTATTGTGTAAGGACAGAGACAGCCTGAACCAGTCACTCTGACAACAACAGCCAGGAGTCCAGCACTTTAAACCCAAAGTTCAATAGAGTAAATACTGGCTGGGGATGGGGCAGTGAGAAGACATTAATTGAACGTCATGGAAAATCCAGGGGAAACAACTTCCATGCTCCCTTATGCCGACTGAAGGACTTTTTTTAACTAACGAGTAAAAAGCCTGTGACAGCTAAAGGGCACACACAGGAACAGCCACAAGGATCCAGGCGGGGAGGTGATCTGTTCCCCAAATTACAGGAAAACTAAACAGAACTCTCAGAAGAAATGTTTTCCTGTGCGGGGGGTGAGGCAGTGGCCCAGGTTGCCCAGAGAAGCTGTGGATGCCCCATCCCTGGAGGGGTTCAAGGCCAGGCTGGATGAGGCTTTGGGCAACCTGGGCTAGTGGGAGGGGTCCCTGCCCATGGCAGGGGGTGGCACTGGATGGGCTTTAAGGTCCCTTCCAGCCCAAACCCTTCTGTGATTCTAAGCTTCAGACATTGGCATGTTATCACTGTGGTCCTGGATCACCCCATTCCTCCTGCAGCCAGACCCGATAAACCCCCTTGCAATAGGACCCCAACTCACCTGTGGTGCATTTCCCAGAGCTTGGTGCCCATCCGCTGGTCCCACACACAGACCAAGCCCTCCTCTCCTCCGCTGACGATCTTCCAGTCGTCCATCTGGACCGCAGACACTCCCAACTGGTGGGCATAGAGGGAGCACAGAGAGTCGCTTTTGCGGAGATCGAATACCCTGACCCTAAACGAAAGCAAATAAAAGAAACATGAACAGCTGAGTGTCCACAGCCTGCGGGTTCTGAGCACAAGTACTTTTGTGGTTATGAGAACATGCCCAGGACAGCAGTATAGGGTCAGAAACCCAACACCATCGACGCTTTTCACCTCTGAATTTTCCCTCTGACTTCTCTCACCAAAGATTTTCTGAGGCAGGCTTCCCCCACCACACAGGACCTCTCCATCTCTGTACAAGTCCTAGGTGACATAAAATTTAAGTGAAATTTGGAGAGACCTCCTCTATCTGTGCCTCCCAAAATGTCAGCAATGCCATGAGGCGTAAATGTGTGCTAACACATCCCGCCCCTTCGTACCGAACCCACACCCACTATGGCTGAGGGGTAACATCATTACGAGGATCAACGACAGGACTATTATTATAAAGATTTAGGAAGAGACTAAATGCGTGGCAATTCAAAGGAATTATAGGTTTATACACTTGAGTTAATCACCAATATTGAAACAAAGCTCTCCACAGGCACCCAGCT